ATATCGAAGTTATCCCTGAGGGGTTTCAAGTCCCAATCCATGGGGACCAGAAAACTGTGGAACTGGTGTACACAGCAAAAGTTGCCCGAAGTACAGTAGAAATCCCCAAACATCGGCTCTAGGAGTTTCAACCGGTTCCGCAGGAATTCCATTTTAGGTCATTAGTCATGAATGTATGTGTAAATAGCCTATGAAAACAAAATTAATTTTAAAAAAGGGTCTACTTCTGTATAGCCCCTTCCTGCTCTTCCTTTCCCATACTATCCCCACGCCACTACTCATCCAATTTCCTTTCTGACCATTCTATTCCATCACGTCTAAGACACTATCCAAGAACTGTATGTGCCCACAAAGGCAAATGAGAGAGCTACTCTTCAACACCTGAAGCATCTATTCCGTCATCAAGCTGTCAACGACACTACAAGCAAGTTTAACCAGACGAATTCCTTCCTTTTGGTCAGTAATACACATGCACTGCCTACATGATTTTACTTCATCTTTAGAAAACCATCCAAGAACTGTATGTGCCCACAAAGGCAAATGAGAGAGCTACTCTTAAACATCTAAAGCATCTATTCCGTCATCAAGCTGTGAACGACACTACAAGCAGCTTTAACCGGACGGATTCCTTCCTTTTGGTCAGCAATACCAACTGAGATCTTTGTAAATGCAATAATAATGTGGTTATCTTATAGTTGTTTAAGAGAAGATTAGTTGTGTTCTGTTAGTGCAAAAAATGAGAAAGCTACGAAAGTCTTCAATAAATGACTTTAATAAAACCATTTCAACAAGTCCAAAAACATCGTATGGGGCTTTACACACAACACACAGCATGGACTTTACTGTCAATTAATATAATGGTAGATAATATATATATCCAATATGTTACAGATAAACCCCATTATGATTTTATGAACTACACTTTCACATGAGAATGTACTTGTAAATATCTATACATTGAAAAGCCTTTCATATATATTGTAATTTGTAGGTTTATTTGTCATTTTTTGTTTTGTTTAATATGTAATTGTTTATCATTGTATTTTGTTTGTTATAGCGCTTAGAGACTTCGATGGTAAGCGTTTTATGAGCACCGTTTTTAATATCTATTATTATTTCACCAGGTACTTTGTTTCATATTCATGCCTAATTTACAATTTTGTTTAGTATGCAGTGTATATAATATTATTGTAGTGTATACTTGTAGTGTACTAATATAAACATATAACTTGCTGTTTTTAAGGCCAACATTTGGGATAGTCGAGCAAAATCCTTCCACTGCAGGTGGTACAATGAAAATCCTGACGGAAATATCGAAGTTATCCCTGAGGGGTTTCAAGTCCCAATCCATGGGGACCAGAAAACTGTGGAACTGGTGTACACAGCAAAAGTTGCCCGAAGTACAGTAGAAATCCCCAAACATCGGCTCTAGGAGTTTCAACCGGTTCCGCAGGAATTCCATTTTAGGTCATTAGTCATGAATGTATGTGTAAATAGCCTATGAAAACAAAATTAATTTTAAAAAAGGGTCTACTTCTGTATAGCCCCTTCCTGCTCTTCCTTTCCCATACTATCCCCACGCCACTACTCATCCAATTTCCTTTCTGACCATTCTATTCCATCACGTCTAAGACACTATCCAAGAACTGTATGTGCCCACAAAGGCAAATGAGAGAGCTACTCTTCAACACCTGAAGCATCTATTCCGTCATCAAGCTGTCAACGACACTACAAGCAAGTTTAACCAGACGAATTCCTTCCTTTTGGTCAGTAATACACATGCACTGCCTACATGATTTTACTTCATCTTTAGAAAACCATCCAAGAACTGTATGTGCCCACAAAGGCAAATGAGAGAGCTACTCTTAAACATCTAAAGCATCTATTCCGTCATCAAGCTGTGAACGACACTACAAGCAGCTTTAACCGGACGGATTCCTTCCTTTTGGTCAGCAATACCAACTGAGATCTTTGTAAATGCAATAATAATGTGGTTATCTTATAGTTGTTTAAGAGAAGATTAGTTGTGTTCTGTTAGTGCAAAAAATGAGAAAGCTACGAAAGTCTTCAATAAATGACTTTAATAAAACCATTTCAACAAGTCCAAAAACATCGTATGGGGCTTTACACACAACACACAGCATGGACTTTACTGTCAATTAATATAATGGTAGATAATATATATATCCAATATGTTACAGATAAACCCCATTATGATTTTATGAACTACACTTTCACATGAGAATGTACTTGTAAATATCTATACATTGAAAAGCCTTTCATATATATTGTAATTTGTAGGTTTATTTGTCATTTTTTGTTTTGTTTAATATGTAATTGTTTATCATTGTATTTTGTTTGTTATAGCGCTTAGAGACTTCGATGGTAAGCGTTTTATGAGCACCGTTTTTAATATCTATTATTATTTCACCAGGTACTTTGTTTCATATTCATGCCTAATTTACAATTTTGTTTAGTATGCAGTGTATATAATATTATTGTAGTGTATACTTGTAGTGTACTAATATAAACATATAACTTGCTGTTTTTAAGGCCAACATTTGGGATAGTCGAGCAAAATCCTTCCACTGCAGGTGGTACAATGAAAATCCTGACGGAAATATCGAAGTTATCCCTGAGGGGTTTCAAGTCCCAATCCATGGGGACCAGAAAACTGTGGAACTGGTGTACACAGCAAAAGTTGCCCGAAGTACAGTAGAAATCCCCAAACATCGGCTCTAGGAGTTTCAACCGGTTCCGCAGGAATTCCATTTTAGGTCATTAGTCATGAATGTATGTGTAAATAGCCTATGAAAACAAAATTAATTTAAAAAAAGGGTCTACTTCTGTATAGCCCCTTCCTGCTCTTCCTTTCCCATACTATCCCCACGCCACTACTCATCCAATTTCCTTTCTGACCATTCTATTCCATCACGTCTAAGACACTATCCAAGAACTGTATGTGCCCACAAAGGCAAATGAGAGAGCTACTCTTCAACACATGAAGCATCTATTCGTCATCAAGCTGTGAACGACACTACAAACAACTTTAACCAGACGGATTCCTTCCTTCTGGTCAGTAATACACGTGCACTGCCTACATGATGGTACTTCATCTATAGGACACCATCCAAAAACTCTATGTTCCAACAAAGGCACATGAAAGAGCTATGAAAGTCTTCATATTAATGAATTTAATAAAACTTATCCAAAAAGATCCAAAACACACATTGTCCATTTAAAAAGTCCAATGCACCCAATCGTATGGGGCTACACACAACACACTGGGCTTCACTGTAGAATCACTGTATAGAAAATTAATATTGTTGTAAGCATATATCTATTTTCTTTTACAGATAAACCCGTCTATAATTTTATAACCTGCAATATTAATTGACAATGTGTATGTAAATATCCATACATTAATAAGCCTTTCATATGTATTGTAATTTGTAGTTTTTTGTTTTGGTTAATATGTAATTGTTCATCATTGTATTTTGTTTGTTATAGCGCTTAGAAACTTCGGTGGTAAGCGCTTTAAGAGCACCGATTTTATTACTTATTAATATTTCACAAGATACTTTGTTTGAACATATTCCTGCCTAATTTACAGTTTTGTTACTCTGGTATGCAGTGTATATAATTGCAGTGTATATAATTGTAGTGTATAATTGTAGTGTACTAATCTAAACATATAACTTGCTATTTTTATGGCCAATATTGGTATAGTCGAGCAAAATCCTTCCACTGCAGGTGGTACATCCCTGAGGGGTTTTTAAGTCCCAATCCATAGGGACCAGAAAACTGTGGAACTGGTGTACACAGCAAAAGTTGCCGGAAGTACAGCAAAAATCCCCAAACATCGGCTCCAGGAGTTTCAACCGGTTCCGCAGGAATTCCATTTCAGGTCATAGGTCATGAAGGTATCTGTAAATAGCCTATGAAAACAAAACTTAATAAAAAACAGGGGTCTACTTCTGCATATCCCCTTCCTGCTCTTCCTTTCGCATACTATCCCCACGCCACTGCTCACCCAATTTCCTTTCTGACCATGCTATTCCATCACGTCTAAGACACTATCCAAGAACTGTATGTGCCCACAAAGGCAAATGAGAGAGCTACTCTTCAACACCTGAAGCATCTATTCCGTCATCAAGCTTTTAACGACACTACAAGCAAGTTTAACCAGACGAATTCCTTCCTTTTGGTCAGTAATACACATGCACTGCCTACATGATGTTACTTCATCTCTAGGACGCCATCCAAGAACTGTATGTGCCCACAAAGGCAAATGAGAGAGCTACTCTTAAACACCTGAAGCACCTTTTCCGTCATCAAGCTGTGAACGACACTAAAAGCAACTTTAAACAGACGGATTCCTTGTAAGATCTTTGTACAGTCAATATTGTGTGGTTATCTAATAGTTGTTTAAGTGCAGATAAGTTGTGTTTTGTTATTGCAAGAAAATGAGAACGCTACGAAATTCTTCATCAAATGACTTTAATAAAACTTATCCCAAAAATATCCCATATACATTGTCCATTTCAATAACTCCAATAACGTCTTCTTGGGCTTTACACACAACACACTGCATGGGCTTTACTGTCGATTAATAGAATGGTAAATATATATCCAATTTGTTACAGATAAACTCCATTATGATTTTATGAACTACAATTTCACATTAGAATGTACTTGTAAATATCCATACATTAAAAAGCCTTTGATATATAATGTAATTTGTAGGTTTATTTGTAATTTTTTGTTTTGGTTTATGTAATTGTTTATCATTGTATTTTGTTTTTTTATAGCGCCTATAGCCTTCAGTGGTAAGCGCTTTATAATCACCGTTTTTAATATGTATTATTAGTTTACCAGGTACCTTGTTTCATAGTCATGTCTAATTTACAGTTTTGTTTAGTCTGGTGTGCAGTGTATTGAGTGCATTTTTTTAATTGTAGTGTATAATTGTAGTGTACTAATCTAATCATATAACTTACATTTTTAAGGCCAATCTCCATGTGCTTCCCTGAGAGATTTCAAGTCCATATTCATTGGTACCAGAAAACTGTGGAACTGGTCTCCCGACTGCAAATTTGCCAAGAGTATGGCAGAAGTCACAAAACATCGACTCAAGTTTCAGCCAGTTCCATTGGAATTCCATTTCAGGATCGACATTAGTCATGAAGGTATGTGTGAATAGCCTGAAGAGAAGAAACAAAATTAGTGAAAAAGATAAAAATAGTCCACTTCAATATATCACCTTCCTGCACTTCCTTTTCTATACTATCCCTTTCTCATCCCACTGTTCACTTAATTTCTTTTCTGACCATTTCTAATTCATGTCTAGGACACCATCCATGAACATGTTATGCCCACAAAGGCAAATGAGAGAGGTACGCTGTGAACGACATAACACTACAAGCAGGCCCGACAGTGCTTACCCTCAAGGACGCATCGTACGTTGCAACAATACATCAAAACTACTTTGAGTTTTTATCCAGTCAGATTTGAAATGGAATACGCATGTTGAGTATATGGTCAAACGTGCAAATAGTCGTTTGTATGTTCGTCGCACCTTGAAGCATCACAGTCTTACAGTTCAGGACCTTATTGTTGTTTATACCAGTTTCATGATACCAGTTGTCGAATATGCTGTACCTGTTAGGAGGTCTCACAAAGCAACAAGTTAAAATCATCAAACAGGTACAAAAGCGTGCCCTTAATTAGAATCATTTTTGGTGCAGAATATATTATTCGTACAAGAGTGATAACTCCAGTCAAAACTCTCAATAGCAGAAGATCTGACTTTTGCTAACTACAAAATACTAAGAGCAGCCAGAGAAGCAAGTAACGTCACTGCAGCTTGGTCGCAAGACGGACGAATTTTCGTAGCCCTACCAGCAAGTGATGGAAAGACTGCTAAGAAGCTTATTACGTCCTTCAAAGATCTGACATATTTTTTGAAACAATGATTAGATAAACATCTCTCGAACATCCAACGATGTTGACTAGTCATAGTTTTCTTACTTCATCCAGGGAGGTGTATTGATTCAACGAACAACAAACTCATATTTTTTTGAATACTTTTAATTGTTGTTAAGAACATAAATAATAAGGGTATCTAATAATTCACTCATGGTTGAGATCCCAACAAAACACAATAGTGATGGGTGATTTCAATTGCAACATCAGGGGCGGAACTAGCATTTTGCTAGGGGGGGGTGGCCCAGTGGAGGATCCAGGATTTTCCAAGACGGGGGGGGGGGGCGAAATTTGAAAATCGCGCCGACCAATAATTTGCTCAGTGTAGGGGGGGGGGGGGGGTAGTGAGCACTAAATTTATTCTTTCATTTTGCCCCCCCCCCCCCCGGAATTTTGAAAAAGTGCCCACCAATATTCTATTCCCACCAACCCCCTAACCCCCCTAGATCCGCCCCTGAACATGCTTACTGAAAACAACCTTTTTAGACAAAGTTAAAGAAATATTCGATATATATATATATATGATATGTCGCAGCTGATACAATGTCCTACTCGTATAACCCCATTTAGCAGTACTTTAATCGACCTTGTTTTGGTTTCAAACTGTTAATGTGACCATACACTTGTGTATGTTATACCACTAAAACCTTTAAGTATCACAACTGTTCCTGTAATATAAAGTACATTCAGGTCATATAAAATTTTAATGAAGAACTGTTTTTTCGAGACTTATGAAATACCGATTGGAATAGTTTAAACAGTGATAGTATCGATGAGTTCTGGGAAAGTTTTAAGAATTGTTTTAATCGCGTATGTGATTAACATGCGCCAATAGCATCAGTGAGAAGGAAGTCAAGAGGAGCACCTTGGATAAAAGAAGAATATCTTGAAATTTCAAGAACACGTCATTTTAACAAAAGAAAATTTGATGTTACGAAAAGTAACAGTTTTTAGAATGAATTTAGAAAGTACAGAAACAGAGCTAACAATCTAAATTAAAAAAATGAAAAGAAATACTATAACGACACTTTGGCTAAAACAAGTAACGATATGAGCAAAACTTGGAAAGGTTATAAAGAGTTGAAAACTTTTATTTTGACATGTTTTGTTCTTAGGCTGAATTGAAATATAGTGATATGTTTAAAGTAACAGATATTGAAAATGAAATGATTTGGTATAGTAGCAATATTAAAAATAGGAATGAGTTATTGTATTTTCCAAACTGAATAAAAATCAATATTCTTAAATTGAAACAAGTTTTATTAAACATTATCTGGAAAGAAGTTGATTATATTTGTATTAATTTTCAAGAAAATGAATTACTGTCCGCCTTTAAAGGTACTATGTCCCTTTTGCAGCCAACATCAAATTCTGTAGAACTTTGCAGGAATTATGAATATGTCATGTATGTCCTATCTGTGGAATTTAAACGTTAGCAGTGTCCTCATATTCAAATTATGCAAGGAAACCCGTTTACTTGCTAGACTTCACTGTCAGACACTATTGAGTGACCGACTGGCTTTTTTCTTCTTTGGTAATAACATACATGAAAAGAGTTAATTGTAAAGGGTACATTAGCATTTGTCTACATCAATAACCCACTTCTTGTGATGGCCAAGATTAAACTGATTGAATCTTTGCGCAGCATAAAACGTATGACCATTCGGTACAATTGTGTGAAAATCAAGACTATTACTTTTGGGCTCTATAGCCCTAAAGTCGATTTGACAACTAATAGTCGTTATTTTCCCACTTGAAGACATTTTCAAGCCCCACCTTTTTATAGGGAAGTTCTAAATTAGTATTATCTTTCAAATGCAGTTGGAATTTAACTTTTTCATTTGTTGGGCCTGCAAATGGGACATAGTACCTTTAAATTGGCAAAGTTAAAAAGTGTATTCCTGAATATTTGGTTGCAAAAGTTACGTAATAGGATACAATATATCAATAGTCCACCGTCTGCAGTGGAATCCAGAACAATAGAAATGGTAACATATGTGACTCCATTATTGTAGCGGGCATGCTGGCCAAACACTATTATAAATTGATGTTAGAAGAAAAAAAAAGGATCTGCATGCAGTGCATTTATTTTTAGAACGCTTTTTTCATTTACCTAATGGGTTTAAATGGAAGACGATGCTTCAATATAAATTTTACTTTGTAAATGACAACAGAATTATAAAGCAGTTTAATTTTAAATTTATTCATAGAATATTACCCAGTAAAGACAATTTATGTAAAAGAACGATTAAAATAATAATCTATGTGATATCTGTAAGATCCCAGATACAACTACTCACCTTCTTCTGGCTAGTAAGAAGGTTACGCTTTTTTGGAAGATTGTATCCAAATTAGTCGATACTATGTTTAATTCAGAATCTTTTTGAAGGAAAAAATTCTTTTAAAAGGTCATGAAATAGAAACGAGAGCAATGAATCTTTTAAACTTTGCTCAGTTTATTATCTAAAGAAACTATATAGTAGAGATTTTTTTTAAAGTGAAAAGCACAGGATACATGCTGTATATTTCATAATAGAATTAAAGGTAGAAATTCGCACCTATCTTGATAAAAGAAATTCGATAAAACGAAGTTTTTAAAAAATGTTTTCATTATTTTAGTTAGTGATTATGTCACATTAGTTTCATGTTTTGTACTTTATATGATATGTTAAAATTGCATGAATTCTGTATATAAACGCTGTTGTAAATAGATGTTATGTTAATAAAGTCCCTCGAAAGAGGATAAATAAAAGAAATAAATAAAGAGTTGATCCCAAGAAACAAATGCAGAAACAGTTTTGACGGATAAATTAATAAAAATCAAGAAGACTTGGCAAATGCATTCAATAACGCAGTCCATGATATATATAAAATGGTTCCTCCGGTTGAGGACGTGGATCTGTATAGCGCGAGTACATTTAAAGAAGATTTTTTTTTCAAAACTTTTTTCAAGAATGATTATAAAATGTTAATTTTGATTAATATGCTTGCAAATCTAAATATCATATTTTTTCTTTTCTCTAATCAATTTTTTTCCTTTAATGACAACTTTCAGAATTGAAATTCTAAATTAGCTGAGATAATAATAATATAATAATAATGATAATAATAATAATAATAAAAATGATGATGATGAATCTTTTTTTTTTAATTCCACTGATCTAGCTGTCTGTATTTTATTCGCTCTCATTAAAACCAACTGAATACTAGTATGGGCTTCCCATTTTATCAGTGGAATTTTGTTGAAACAAGTTATTTATCATCATCATCATCATAACAATAATAATATAAGATCATACCGTTTATGCAAGGAGTTTGATGAGCTGGAGTCCCAACCGTTTTTTAAGGTTGCATTATAGAATCTACAGGTGTGCTGTTTACCGTTGATGTCCGAGGTTCGAAGCCGCCAGTATCATCGAAAAGCTTGATTAGTGATTTTGTTCACGAAGAAATATCGTTAATATTTCACTTTTTATTTGAACTAACAAGGGTAAAATCGAACAGATGATAAAATATGAATACAAAAACCTAATTGTATCAAGGAATTTGCTCACGTTGTATAATAGCAGTTTTAATTTGTGAACAAAAGTAAAACAAAATGTACAATCCTAAAACCTGCCATTTGACACTTTGCCGATTACTTCCGGCTCACGAAAATACAAAATGAATTTGCTCATGTACAGTTCTTTATGTACTATGTCAGATTAGTGCCCACACCTGCCCAGTCAAGTAATTTTGATTAATGTTTCAGGAAATTTTGGTCCATTTCCTTTCGCTTTGCCTCCTGTAAAGGTAAGCACTGTGTACTGCTCGTATTATCAGACGAGTGGTAGCGAAAAGTAATTATCATTACAAAAGCATATTTCCCTTTGAAAGTGGCCCGTTAGATTGCAGCTAGACAGGAATCGTCTGTCTACGTATCTGCAAGGAAGACGTAGTTAAGCACATGCTTGACATATTTTCTCCTGGTGACATCGAAGATGGTACAAATTAAAAGGAATGAGCTAGATATGATTCTATCTCTTAAAACTCCTTGGTTAATGTATCAAAGGTGTAAAAGCACTGAGATTGTTAGCGCTTATTTGCATATATATGATTATAATAATCATATAAAGCATGCCTACCCAGTAAACGTGCAAAATGCGATATTATGTCCTAAATGTGCACAACATAGCACAACAAGTTCACAAATTAAACCATCTGCTAGTTTCTTATCTTCATATTCCGTATGGATAAACAAGTACAAAATGAGTAATAAATTTCCTCTCTAAAAATAAGAAAACAAATTGACTTACTGCTGGCAAAACTTGCTGACACTTAAAGGGATAACAGGTGTGGCTACCCGGAGTCACCCCAGCTCGTGAAACAGAGGTCCTCTCAGTGTGAGAGCTGGCTGCAGACTGATTCCAAACTGTATGACTGAACCAGCCCAGTCCAGAACATATAGGAATTTAGCACCTGGGTGCATGCCTAGCATTGCAGTAAGAAAAGAACTAGGGCTACAGAACACCTCAAAAGGGATAACTTATTATCATAACAAAGACTGCCCTGGCTTAGGCTATAAAAACAGACCCTAGAACATGGTAAATGATCGAGATTGTGACAATGATGATGATGACATTAGTGAAAATGATAATAATAATAATAATAATACTTATTATAATAATAATAATAATGATAGTAATAAGACTATATAGCAATTATAATAATGCAATACATTATTGATAATTGTCCAAACTTATCGTCATCCACGTCATTTGGTATACATTTCCGATGGATGACTATATCTTTGATTGTTAATAGTTTTGTTTTTGTTTTCTATAAACTCAAAAATTATATTATTGAATTTTTGTATGAGTGTATATGTATTGTAATACCATGTACCACGACGAATTTCCATTGTTGAATGGATCATGAATATGGACCTTATGAACCTCATGATAACAATTTCAATTATGTTTCTAATGCTCCTATCATCTCCAATAATTCTATAATCTCCAATACAGAAAAGCCTAGAGAATTGATTGAATGCACAAATGTGGTATGTGGGAGCTAGGGCCACTGGTTTCATAAGTCATGTGTAAACACGACAGAGGCGAAATGAGAAAGCTCTTGCTCAGGCCAGTCTACCTTCTGCCTTTAGCTTTGTAGGAATTGAATTTGGCGCACTGCATTTCTATAATACTGTTGATTGAATAAATTGAATAAATTCATAAATTCCTGATGAAGCCGTATGAGCGAGAATTCAATTGATTCTTGTCTCATATACAGTTGTCTCATTTACTTCGTTTTCTATTTATATATGTATGCATTATGAAAATGAGATAGAAAAATGTGTATACTGATGGTCATCATGCGAGTAATAACGATTAACTACTCTCATCGGGCTCTCATCATTAATTTTTCTCTTCATTTTTGGGGGTTTTGATGGTGAAGTATTGGGGAATGATTGTACAGGCCATCCCCCCCCCCCACCTGAAATATTGGAAGGAGGGCGGATATACCCCCCCCCCCCCGCCATCCCCCCTCTTTCGGGATCGACACCCATGTCGACAAACCTAGGTTTATGTGCGTCATATGATGCGATTGTGAATTCGGGCCTGAGGGTTTAAATTATAAAGTCAAACACTACCATCTTCTGACACGACATTGCTCGGGGTCTGCTCGCTATTTATAAGGGACGCTATTTATAAAAGACCGCTTTTCATTTAGTAACGCGTTATGGATAGTGGTCCTTATGGATAGCGAGCTTGACCCCATTTATCCACATTATTTTACACCAAGATGTAAATGGGTACCCAATAGCCAGTTCATGCCCATCTGCAGATAAAGGTCATGTGTGCCAAAATTATAAAAACCCACCGAGACGAATACTAAATAAATGCTCTCATTGTTTGATACACAGGTGAAAGTATTCTTCTCAAGAGGGCAAACAAAATGTATCAATGAAGCACCTCCAGCACCTTGGCAGTGATGATTATACAGTGCGTCCCAGATATAACAAAACCGAGAATTATCGATGTTTTATCATAACTGAATCACAATTATTATTAATAAATGACACATATTTGTAAAGCTTAGATCCTCTTCTTTCATTTCATGCAACTCATATGCAGCATATTTCACAAATAAGTGATTAACACAAAATTGAAGAAAGGGTACCAAACAGTCATTTGGCGAACGGTATTTGAACTTCAAAGAGAAAATTACATTTCTAGAAAGTTGATTTATTGGTCTTTCATATGACACCTCAGTCAGGAAAAATGAGCCAGAAATAACAAAGCTCTGTTTGTTTAAAGTAAGATCCCAAAATGTTATTAAACGAATTCGTTTTCACTGACTGCCTGCCGTAGCAACAAACAACAAACTCCGTTTCGTTGACGATCAGCCATGCATGAAGCCTCTCTTTGTTGTTGTTGTTGTTGTTGTTGTTTGGGCAGACTACCAGTGGAACGGATTTGTTTAATAAAATTATAGAAATGCAAGCATTACTTTAAACAATCAGAACGTTGTTATTTTTGGCTCATAAGCACTCCTGAACTTCACCATGGCGTCCCATACTTTCGAGTTCGTAATTAGGATTTGCGCATGGGCAGATAAAGGTCATTTGTTCCTAAATAAGGGAGTTTACAGAAAGCACATGGTACAAATGACCCCAAATATCCACAGATCTTTTGCACATTGAGAAGTTCCACTTTGAGCATCTTAGAATAATAACTGCCAAAGTCCTAGATGTGCTTCATGAATACCTTTTGTTTGCTCTCTTGAAAAGAATACTTCCACCTGCGTACCTTAGAATATACCGTTGGTGCATAAATGAATAATGTTATATAACTTTCATGAGCGCATATCCAGTATTCATCTCTGGTGGGTTTTACCTTTTTGGTACAAATGACCTTTATCTGCCCATGCGCAGATTGTATCTGTAAACTCCCTTATTGTAAAACCGTTGAGACGAATACTGGTATCGAGCTAATGAACGTTATGTAATCAGTATTCATTTATGCACCGACAGTACATTTATCTAATACACAGGTGGAATTATTCTTCTCAAGGTGCAAACTAAAGGTATTCATGAAGCACCTCCATCACTTCGGCAGTGCTTATTCTAAAATGCACAAGTGGGATGTATCCATCGTTTAAAAGGTCTGTGGATATTTTGGGGTCATGCGTTCCGAAGCTATTTACGAACTGGCTTATTTAAAAGGGTGGTGAACAGCACCACAAACGTTTTTCTGCTGTCATGTAGTATATTCAGGGTGCACATGGAGGTGTATAATTTTCCGTCTTTTCCCATTTCCTTTTTCTTTTCTTCTCTTTGAGACCGTGTCGATTTCGGTAAAGCGGGAATGTTGACAAAAAGAGGGGGAGGGGGGGGGGGGGTGAGAAAAGGGAAGATATATGTTAGACAAAGCCGAGCAGCATTCGGGGTAGGCCTGCTTTACACACAGTGCTTCTACTGATCGTACGGGGTAAATTAAAGAGGAAAAAGGGATTAATTATAAAAATGCATCTCATTTACAACCATGACAACAGTGACAGGCATTGTAATGATAAATGCATAAGTTAAAGGTAAAGACCAGTTATGGTAATGCGATTGCATTGTGAAAGAAACGTTGTGGAATCGATCAGAAAAGGCTGATCATCTAGCATATAAGTATTGGTGTGTGCTACAAGGTTCTGGAATCATCAAATGATAAGAAATATGGCCCAGTCTTCGTAAAGTTACAAGCACTGTACACAGAAAGATGTATATGGGACTATATGCATACGTGCGCGAAACGTGCGTTTATCTCTCACAGACCATGTAGATAAACTCATTTACCAAATATATCAATTAGTAGGCGGTTTCCCGGCAAAATTTGTATCATCATGTATTAGTCAAAACATATTCTTTCACATGATTGGTAATAAGAGCTTCCATTTCATTGTTTGAAATTGGGGCGTTTCCAATACTGGTCTTTACCTCACACTGATATAGGGATATAAAAATAATAAAAGTAATGATAGAACTATAACTACACAACATACTTCACTTGGATCGACCAAATCAATTGATTCATAATGTATATAAATAATGTTTCCTCGTAAAATGAGAGTAATTTTAATCGTTTCATTCTTTTAATTAAATGTAACGTTAATTGTTATTGTATAATTGTGTTAAGTAGGGGGACGCTACAAGAGTCCTATCTCGCACCCCCCCCCCATTTACATGGATCATGACAAAAAAGACGATTTAACAGGCCAAGTGCGTAGATTAATGGGCCTAATAAGTTGTAGATCGATCTGGTCTTGGTTATGCAGTTGATTTTTAGACTTCTATGCGTTTATAACAGATAATTATAATGAGTATAGATGTTATTGAGACCTTTGATTTTGTATATGTAGGCCTATGCGATACATAGTCTAGTTTAGATATATCAGAAACATTTGGGGGACCTGAGAGAAGAAAAAAAAGAAGTTTTGTTTACACTACGGACAGAACATTTTTATTGATACACAGCATTACTGTGATAAAATGAATCCTTGAATTCGAAGGGTGCGCCACCAAGTTGGCGCCACCTACCGGCATAGAAGCGTAGTTTCGTTCCCTGCCGGTAAAGGTCCTTGAATTGTTGCGACCATTTCTGTCAAATGTCATATCTCAACGAGTTTTTTTTTCCATATTAGGCTCTCCCAAACAATGTTTAATGGGGAGACAAAGGATATGTTATATTATTAAAATATTTAATCATAAAGATATAATTATACAACATTCAAACCGTGTAAAGAAAAATATAACACACACAGCACATTTGAAGACAATGGAATATTTCGTGTAAATTACTCTTTATTGATATACTCAATTTACTAAACACACAAAGAATCGTTGCATAAGAGTACAATAAAACTGCAACACCCATATTCATTTATTTCTTAACATATCGTCTGTGTTGCAACTCCCAATTAATGCTTTTTTATTAAGATTCTACTTGATTTAGCAACATAAAACCTGTTGTGTTAATTTTTAAAGAATGAAGTAAACACGCATGCCTATCGTCTTATTAAAATACAAACATCCCCATGAAAATGGAGAGCAAGTCCTTATATTAGCCAATTTAATAGTCCATATGTTTATTGAATTTTTGGTGAAACAAACCTTTATCACTGAGAGGATTCTTTTATTTAGCATCTTTAACATCATCAAAATTATGACAATAATACTCAGCTGCAACCGTGCTATTAAAAAAGTGTTATGATAAATCTAAGTGTATACTAAGTTCTTTATAAAGAATTATTTATCGTCTTGTGAACGGGACATAAACGATGTATGTTTTGTAAAACGTACGCACCCGAAATTATATATATATATATATTTTAATTTTTATTTCTGCATAATTTCAAATACAATAACTGATAAGATAAGATAAGATTTTGATAAGATGTTATTTGACTCTATCGACCCCCTTCAGGGGTATGAGAGCACAACATATTTACAACACAATACAGAAACAAATATAAAACAAATTAAGATATGATAATGAAATACATAGACATAATATATACAATTGTTATATTTCTATAACACAATAAACATGAGCTAAAGACAAAGTATACACTATACAATTTAAAGTTATATTCTAAAATATGACGTGGTTTGGTTTGTCTACCTCTACGAGTAACTACACTTTTATTAACAAAAATAGGACCATGCCTTTCAGCTTTAGGAACCAACAAAAAGAATCGTATTATTACTGTTATGAATTTTACAAGTTTCTTAATTATTTAACGCTAGATCTATTAAACAATTTGTCCATGTGAAAAGTGATAGGGTTACTCACAACAAACTGTCGACCTAAGTATAACTGCCTTTCTTTCTTGAAAAAGGGCAGACAAAATATATTGAAATTCATCTCCAAAAACCTTTAAATTACAACAAAGACATTCAATTTTACTTTCTTCAGGATTATTTTCAAACCTTCCATTATTAATTGGTAAGCAGTGTGACCTGCATCGGAATCGACACAAAGTGATCGCACCTCTTCTATTCAACTTTACCAGATACTTTTCAAATAAAATTTCGTTCTTGATAATTCGGTAGTTAACACAAATGCGATTTGACCAAAAATTTGACATTATTTCTCGCTTTGACATGTCAGTCAACCTTAGCTTAAGAGCAAAAATCTACCAGTCTCACCATAAATCATACAGTCAGGTGTATATTTATTGACATTCAATATGGCCCTTAACAATTTGCGATGACAAATTTCAATCTGACTTAAATCCTCAAAACCCCACACCTCACAGCCATATAAGAGTATTGGCATGATTACTGATCAAATAACTCACACTGAATATCCAATGATAATCTTAACTTTTGCACCTTTAAGGTCATTGCAAATGAAGCTTTTCTTGCCTGAATCACCTGTTTTGATATTGCCTTTTAAAAATTACCATTATAATCAAATTTAACCCCAAGATACACAAAGTCATGTACTACATTGATAATATCGCTCCCATACTTGAAAACTTGGTACTTGCGTACCTTCCCTCGAGAGAATATCATTATCTTTGTTTTTTCATTATTCACATGCAATTTCAATTTCTCACAGTAGTTAGACAGAGCATCCAAAGCCATTTGGAGTTCCTCTGGATTTTCTGCCAAGATAATAGTATCATCTGCATATAGCAATGCATGTAAATTAATAAATAATTCTTCATCAGAAATTTTATTAAGAACATCAGAACACACCTCATCATATAAATACCGTAAATCTTTAAATTTGGTTCGTATTTATCCAACAAAATCATTAAGATAAATTGCGAAAAGTAAGGGGATAAATTATCACTGTGCCTTACCCCAACACACGACTTAGCAGAGACATACATATTCTTAATGGCTTTACATACCTTGCCGTTTAATCCTGACAATAACAATTTATACCAAAGGGATGCTCGATCTATCATATCAAAGGCTTTTCTAAAATCCATAAAGGCGCAATAAATCCTCATTCCCTTTGACAAATATATATCCAGTAAAGATTCCAACACAAATGCATGATCCATTGTGGAATAACCTTCGCGAAAACCCGCCTGTTCTTCTCCAAGTACAGATTCATTTTTAAAATATAAAGTAATTCTATGATTCAATATTGAAGTGAACAACTTTCATAAACAGCTTGAAAGGGTAATACCACGATAGTTGTCTGGATCTTTGTCCGACCCTTTGTTTTTGAATATTGGAACAATCATTCCAACACACCAATCATGAGGCACTATTCTACTTTCTAGAACTATATTCAAAACAATTGTTATCACTTCCAGAACCTTACCGGTTACGTTTTTCTAATTTGATCAATACCGCATGATGAATATAATTATGTAAACGTAAGGTATGATACAATTTTTCAAAATACGATATCTGAAAATGTAAACGTATGTTTTAATAAAAAATATGTAAATAGTAATAACTTGATGTCAAATTGTGATTTACATATGTACATATTATAACGAACTTCATATTTCTATAATACAAGTTAAATATTATGAGTTTAGAGTATTTTCCTAACTAACTGTGAAATACTGCAGGAAATCGCCATAATAATAAAACGACGCTTGATTAGGATGGCGGCCTCAAAAGAAAAATCTTCAGGTGAAATTTAAATGAAAATGTGTTCATACGATCTTTGTGTATGAGTCTCTGTGTGTGTGTGTGTGTGTGTGTGTGCGTGTGTGTGGGTGTAGCGAATGGTGCATGTGCACGTATCTCTGTTTTGTACGATGGGGTAGAAAAATGTTGACTTTTCAATAAAGGAACAAAGCATACGAAAATTAAAACTGACTTGCAATGTGACCAAAATATGAGATACCAATAATGACATATTGTATTTTTAAATCAATAACGTTCATTTTTCGATAAATTTTTTTTTAAAGACATTCTACAGAAAAACGAGAGATAAGCATTGCATTGTTGAATTCGGTGAAGAATTCCAAACAAATTCGGCCCAGATAACTTGCGGCATATTATTTACACATGCAGTCTCGCGGGCCTTCTGTCAAGTATGTATTTGATTGAATTGGATGAATTTATATCTTTATTTATACACGGTTAGAGAATACCAAACTGTTACAAGACTGATTTCCATTGGGGCCGTGTAAAACAATGTAAATTCATCAAATAAACATATCATTTATGAACTTTAAAAAATAAATAAAAAGAAATGACAATGGTCCATCAAATGACATGTTTAAAACAAACAAGAAATAACAGGAATAAGATAAATATATTTTGAAAAATAACAATAGAATAGTATTACCGGAAAAGAATATGTATATGAATAAAGATAATCATGATTTGCTGAACAAGAGTAATATTGTACATATACTACACATTCAAATTGGTAATAAGAATTGTGCTCAAATAAACTGCTGGTAAAGACATATAACATTGAGAATAATCAAATGTTGCTCGACAAGATACCACAAATATTCAAAATAAAAATAAAAAATAAGAATTATTAAAAGTTCAAGTGATATATAAATGATTACTATAACAAAAAAAAATCAGTATTACAATTTAAAATATGATTACAATTTTAAAAAGTCAATAAAAGAACACTTGAAAGTAACGCAAAATTACAAGCAAAAAATATAAAACTCCATTATGTAATCATTGTCAGATGAAATGAAATGAAGTTATATTATATCATATAGAAATTTAAAAATAGCCGAGCAGATGCATACACAACAAAATGATTTCAAATAACACGAACATGGACACACCAAAAAATGGAAGGAACCATTCGAAAGTTCATAGACATATTGTAGCATAGTATATTATACATGAATAATATATGATTATAAGTTGGTTAGTCTTGTTGTGAAACTGTACTTGCACTTCGTGTGGTAGTAAATTCCTCAGGCAAGCGCCTTTATACACAATTGTGCGTTTGGTACAACCCGTTTTAGGCTGGATTGTCTAAACACATACTGTTGATTGCCACTTCTCGTATTATATGGTCTTTCTCTGAACGAAAATTCAATCGAATAAGTAGGGGCTTTTTTATTAAGAATATTCAACACCATTAAAGTGATATTTTCTTTCCTTTTCTGTTCAAGCGTATCCCATCCAAGTTATCCAGGGTTTCCGATCTTTCTTGATACGACTTTATCTAACCGGAGCATGAAAATTACATAATGTTGGAACAAATGTAACAAAGAATCGGCATTAGAGCATTTAAAAACACTTTTCCAATCAATGTTTCCTAGGTCGCTACAAAAGTTATTTTCATTGAAATTCTTATAAGTTCTATAGGTCCTACAAATATGGTTAGGAAAGGATTTGCGAACCGTACCCCATACAATATATACAAGTGAGTGGTCGCTCATGAACGACGCCAGTTTCGACCACTTTCATACAGTTGGAAGTATAAATTAAATCAATAAGGGTAGATGAAAGCGGTATTACCCTCGTGGGTTCTTTAATCAGTTGACTTAGAGAATAATTTTGGTAAATTTCAAGTAAACGCTTTGTATAGCAAGATAAAGGGTCTGCGAGTATATTGCAATTGAAATCTCCTAAAAATATGATATCTTTTCGTTTTAACAAAATATTCGCAATGACTTTAAGTAGTTCGATGCTTGTTCCAGGGGGGTCTATACCGAGCTAAAACAACCATGGGTGAAGAAATAGATCGCTTCACTTCAACAGCAACAAGTTCAATATCATTTACAAAAGATCTGATCTTAGTTTGTGGCTAAGTTTATTTCATTAACGTATATTGTAACCCCTCCGCCATTTCCATGAGTTTATACATCCGATGTTCAGAATGGTAAGCACTTACAGAATTTACTTGTGAGTGCTGTAATTATTTTGCCTAAATTTGCCATCTCTTTTGGAACTACATAAATGTATTTTTGTCCCCAAACTTCAGAATTTTCCCTTAACATCAAATGTTGCATATTTTTTTGGGTAAAATATAATGCCAGTAAAACTCGATATGAGGTCCATATAAGGTTCATAATGAACTTACATTTGCATAAAATTGAATTTATTAAAACACAAGAGTTTCAAATTTCTATTTGCCTTTGTTCCACAACAAAACTGAATACCTCAAATACTGTCATTCTAAACCTACCAAGCGATTCTGTGTCACTCCTTAACAAAAAAAACACATTTGGAGACTCGCTAAGGCAAACACCTAAATGTGCATGCTTGTACACACTGTATTTCAGCCATGAATGTGCGGTTTGAATATTTTCTACATAGGAAACAAATCATTAATGATACGGAAAATATTAGGGTCCCAATAGAATGCATTCAAATAGAATGCATTATGGGCCAACTCAAAGACGAAAAGAAACAAGGCGAATTGGGTCATCTTGCTTTGGAGATCTTCGAGGAGAAAATCTGGGAAGGCGTAGAACAAGGCACAACCGAACATAGCAAGAGCCAGCTTGAAGAAGAACACAAAGAGCAATGCGATTCGAATCTCCTTGTAGAGAAAGTCGGCCCTTCGAAGATTTTGCTCATCGTTTTCCAACGGCAACAATCCTCTGAGTTGATTGAAAGGTGCGTTCATGAGGTAAAGCTTGATCCAGAGAGAAAGTGAGATGAAGATGGTAACCGAGTATTGAAGACGTCCCTCCTGGTATATGGTCATTGCATTCTGTGCTACGGTCAGAAACCAAACGACGATAATCACGTTGTTCATCAGGTTGCTTATAGACCGGTACATGTCAGAGGCATAAGCCGTACTGAACGGGAACATCATGTAGACAATCTTCTGCACGCGGCTATAGATAGGAAAGATGTCTATCATAGAGAAAACGGAGAGATGAATAGAAAAAGATGGTGCAAAGGAGTATAGAGAGAGAGAGAGAGGGAGAAAATTTAAAAAAAGCAGGATGAGAGAGGAAATAATTTATACAGATAAAATTATAGTCATCACAATGATCGTTGTCTTATCATCAAATGGTATTCTCGAACATACAGAATAAACCTGACAACATTATACAAAAAGATTAGGGCACTAAAAATATTAATAAATGGTTCTCTATGAAAATGCCCATTTTTTCTCCCATTTAAAGAACCACCACACAATAAAGGGTATAAACAGTTTTATTTTTTTTTAATTAAAAGATTTTTTCTTTTATAGCCCACATAGAAATTGATATGTGAACATATATATTGAAGAGAAATACATCAATTCAAAGGACAACTCAATCCAGGGATTTTTATGTAATAGGCATATACTGGTCATAGGCTGATCGTCATCATATGCTGCATTCTATAAAAGCTGGATTATATTCCAAAAGCCAGTTATTATGAAAAAGTACATAACCACAAGCAACGTATGGAAACTATTTTTGGGGAACTACGTGACAGCCTAACTGATGGACAAGACCAGAATTCTAAGCACCGTCGTACTCCATTCAATATTAATCATTTTATTGAATGATCCGGTGCATGTTCTCTTCTCATATAAAAAAGGTCAAAATACTTTTTTTTTTAATGTAAACAATGGTCTGCAGATCTAGGCAAATATTAAGGTCGATTAATAATAGTAATAATAATATTCCGTTGTTATAAAGCGCCTAATACATCAACGATTTCTTTTAGCGCTTTACTAATATATTATTGCCTCGGTCATCGGATTCAGGCTTGATTTTTTGATGGAAATTTTTTAATTTTATTTATTTATTCTTTTTATTTAAACAGGGTAACTCTCTCAGTATTAATACTGTTTTCTGAGAGGCCCTGTACACACAAAATGATTACAAATACATGAAACAACAGTGTTGAAAAACATCTTTTATTTCCAAGTTTTACCTGGATTTGAACTGAACTTCGTCACAAGTTTCATTTACAACCAAACGTCAGATGGGGGTAAACTTCACAAAACTTACCATTGATGGTAGCTTTGCCATCAATGGTAACTACCATGGGAAACTTGATTTTGATTGGCTGTTGAGCCCTGTTGCCATAGTAGTTGTCATTGATGGCAAAGTTACCATTAATGGTAAGTTTTATGCAACTGGGCTCTGACGTCGATTGAGTCAGGTTAAGTTTTTTTGAGGAAATTTAGATGAATCATTGTCATGTCATAAATAGATGTCTAACTACAATGACATCTGAAAGAAGGTGATATTAACATGGCTCAATGTGGAACAGTATTATGTCCAAAGTCAGCGGTCAAAGCGAAAAAGAAGTCAATTATTTTGCAAAAACGTCGGCTGAGTCATTTATCTCAAAAACCGTTCCCTCACTAAGGCATTACTCTGAAATCTCAAAAAAATTGTATTAATGATAACTTAGTATATATTAGGTCAACGGTCGTATGTTGAAGGTCATTGAGGTCAAACTGAAAATTGATATCTTACAATAATTGGTTATGGTGAAAGTTTTCATATCGTATTCCTTGGAAGAATGATTAGAATATACTTATGTCAAAAGCCAAATTGGGGTCATCAGAGTTCATCGTTAAGAGTTTGTGTGGTGTGAGTTGAGGGAACAGGTTGCATGCAGTGTGTGTTTGTATGGTTGTTTATGTGTGTGAAAGGGGGTGTGGTGTGGGTGGGCTAGAGGGGGGGGGGTGTGAGAGTGTTGTGATAGGATGGTAATATGTAACTTTAAACCTTCCTCTACTGTTATTTTGATTATACACTGTTACATGCAAGACTTTTTTTTTCGTCTCTATGTTCATTGATTGATGTAACTTATGCCTTTTACGTCGTATTTCAGCCAATGCCAATGTTGTTTTTTTTTTTTTGGCATTTGCGTGTTGGTTATATTATGCACAACCAGCCGACCCATTATATTGTTATTTTTAATTAAATAATTAATTAACGGCCACCGTATTTTTGAGAAAGTGGAGCTGATTATTAGTATCGTATTGGCTAAATTTCACACATTTTGGGGTCTAAAATTACCTTCATAGCAATTTTAGGTTCTAAAAGGGCACTAGAAATGCCACAGATAAGAATAAGAGCAATAACCATACACTTTGAAGGCATTTGCGGTCGGAAAACAGAACTCAACTATCCATTTAAGCTTGAAGGCGCAATAGGTAAACCTTTATAAAACGTAATAATTCCTATATACAAAATGATGTTGGGGATGGGAGTAAAAAAGATGTATGAGAAGATGACAGGAGGAGATGGTAGATAGAGCGACAAAGGTAATGGCTGTGCTAAAGAGATACGGAAATGTAGTCAGAATGCATTAGTGAGGGTGAATGTGCTGGAAGCCTTTTGACTTTTGGTAATGATTTTAAACAGAAATTTGACAGGTTATGATTTCCCTCTAGAGACTTGAAATCTGAAATCCGAATAACATCTTCATCATATTTACATGTTTTCATGAAAACTCGGGGCCAAGAAATATCAGGGGAGATCCTATACTGCGTTGAATCCAGTAAGATCGCCCAGTTCGCCTTCGTTGCTTCATCTGGTACATGCCGACGGTCATTCAGGTCTGAAATTAATGAAAAGTTTAGTTAATATCAAGTCTTGCGATTATAGGCCTATTGCTTGCAAATTTTCTGTTCATGAGTGCGAGACATTTCATCTTAAACCGATTTAACTTCCGTAGTGCACAAGAGCAAATTCATCCTTCCTTTCAGTGGAACCAAAGGGAAGGGGCGGGTTACAATCAATTATAGGCGTCGGAAGTGAGGGGGGGAAACGCCCCCCCCCCCCTCAAAAGAAAAAAAAGCAGTAAAGGAGTATTAAGATGGTTGGTATTTTTTAACCAAAAAGAACATAAAAAAGAAGAAAAACCTGAATTGAATCACAAATAAATTATATTCTATTCAAAGAAAAGGAAAGTTAACAGGAATTAAATGCCTAAAAACCACGAGATTCCGTGGGCTTAGCCCCTTGACCCCCGCCAGTGCCATGCCCCTGGACCCCACGCCAATTTACGCTCGCTACACTCTTACCTGATCGTTAATACTCCACTTTGAAAAACGTTCCGTGGGGCCCTCATCTACATGTAACATGTAAGAGTGGTGGTGATGCAATTTTTTCTTCTGCCACCCCCCGAAACGTTTTTGCGCATTACGCCACTGCCACTGGAAGGTGAGTGAGCCCCCTGGAATGTTTGCCCCCCCCCCCCCCGATCCAAAACTTCTTCCGGTGCGCCTGCCATCAATCGTTCAGTATGCACGGTTAACTTCTGGTTTGCAGATAATTATAAAACCTCGTTCGAAATTGAAGCACATACAAAAATAAGTTACAAATTTGCTGAAATGCCAATGGTATCATAAAGCGTTTTACTACGTGATGAAATAAAAGATTTGTATCTAATGAGAAACTAGAAGAAAGACTTTCAAGAAATAGACTAAAGGGTATAGTCTATGTCCTATTATGTATCTCATTATGAAAATAATATGTCTTTGTGTACGTAATTTAGCAGGAAACGGTCAAGCCATTGAAATTGTCTCTGTGATCGTGCTGAATCATAATTTTCTTGTTAGTTGTGTTCTTATAATGTCATTGTTATGATCATGAAAGGTAAAACTTACTCTCACGGAGAAAGGTGAACAACGTCTGTAAAGCCTCCGTCTGATTAGTCGAACTCAGAACCCTGAAAAATCAAAGGACATTCCATTTTCGTAATGTAATCAAATTTTATGCACAAATCTTTAAGTGCCTCGTTAGATATGTTTTCATTCACCTCTTACGAATAAGTGTATTTTAATAGTCAGAATGCTAATTCCATACATTGCGTACATTACGTGTTGTTAGGTAGGACAAATCATAATGTTTGTCCTACCTAGCAACACTCGATGTTTGCAATTTCCATTGTAATTATTGCTATGCAGTTATTCATAACAGGTGCATGAAATAATTTGTAACGATGGCTCTAATTATGGAATACTGTAATTAAGATTCATCATCAGAAAAAAAAAAGATATCACTTCATTAAAAGTATTATATACCTGACACGTTAGGACAAAAATTCAATCGATACATGATTTAATAATGTGGCGTACACCCAATACCGAAAGGTTTGATCCCTCAAAAGGCAGATCTATGTTTTTCTAATTTGACAAATCGCGATATTTTTGGAACTGACACAATTGTATTCACTAATGAAAAATAGAGAAATTCCCGTTCAAATGGGAAAATATAGGCTACTTTGACTGACATCTATCAGCTAAGAAATATCCAACACAATTCTTTGTTCATCAATTGAAGCATTTTGAGATGTAATATTGAACTCGAATAGGTAAATAAACACAATTAAATCCAAAAAAAACTTTGATATATTTTTTTCTTTGAATACCTGTAGAGATCTTGAACAGTTCCCTTCCAGTCACGATGCGATATCAATGCTTCAAAGATTGGTCGTTTGTATTTGTCATACATATAGTTTATCTGATTTTCTCCATAGCCGAGTTCACGTAAAACCTCTCTGGCAACACTCTCAGAGTTGTCCAGGATAATGGCTAAGGACTGAATCGCCGAGAAGAAGTTGAGAAGGTATCGGAAGGGCATGTCCCTTAGTGGCAGTCGCGACGGAAAAGCCATTTCTCACTTATTAACGACACGACCCCTAGTTTTAAAACAAACACACATTTCAAAAAGTCAAGTCAACCTATGAAAACTCCACCAATTAATGATATCAAAGGGCCTTTGTGCATACATGGGCCCCTATAATTTATTTGTTAATAATGATAATAAAAATCAAAATAATAATAATGGCCCGAATTCACAACGGAGGTTTGTCGACAAACCTCCTTTGTGAATTCGGGCCTATATGTTCTTGTATAGCGCTCATGTCTGTCAAACTGGACACTCCTGGCGCTCCACGGTTGTTAACAACCCGGCCTTAGCATGGCTGCCATTTTGGCGCTCTAGTATTTAAAAAAAGGAATTAATTCCTGCTATATAGGTAACCATCTACTTCACATGGTTCAAGTATGGCACATTTAGACAAATGTCTTGCCAAAAGACATAAGTGCTGCGGGACTCGAATCGCAATCCATGTGATCTACAATTCGTTGACTTATCCACAAGACCTGCACTGCACATAGAAGGGACGTTTCGTTCAAAATGTTGAATTATTTCTTGTCAAATTTCCAATCTATAAAGGAATTTTGACCGTAATCCTTTTCGGGATAAACTTCTGCAGTGATTCTCTTGCAAACTGACAGAACACGAATTTGCAAAAGCTCACATATTATTTTAAAACTTTATCAGAACTCAACTTTGCGTTTAAAGGTACTATATCCCATTGCAGGCCAAAAAAATAAAAAAGTTAAATTCCAACGGCATTTGAAAGACAATACTTATCTAGAACTTCCCTCAAATCGAAAGGGCTTGAAAATAGCTTCAAGTGGGAAAATAACAATTAGTGGTCGAATCGACTTTAGTGATTGCAATCACCTAATTAATAGTCTGATTTTCAGATCCTTTTACTAAATGGTCGTACATTTTGTGCTGCCCAAACTCTCAATCAGTATAATTTTAGCCATTACAAGTAATGGGATATTGATGTAGACAAAAGCTCATGTACCTATTACAGCTCATTTTATGTATGCAGTTAATTACCTAAAGAAAAAAAAATATGTCAGACAGTCATTCAATAGTGTCTGACATTGAAGTCTAGAAGGTAAACGGGTTTCCTTGCATAATTTGAATACTAGGACACTGCTAATGTTTAAATTTCACAGATAGGACAAAATATTCATAGTTCCTGCAAAGTTCTACATAATTTGATGTTGGCTCCAAAAGAGACATAGTATCTTTAAGGTTTTTACATCTGAAAATTGGGACATATTACGTAATGAGAACAGTTTCTTAGTCTTTACGAGTTAGTCTTTAACGTAACACGAATGTCTCAAATAAGGTGATCATCAACTTCCACCCCTAAGTATTTAAAATCGTAAACCTATTAAATTTTCATTCCATCCATGTATATATTTAAATTGTATGACGTGTACTTTAAAAAATATTTGTAATATTGTCTACATTAACTTTTAAGTTATTCTGAGTGTATCATCTCAGTATCGATTCAACATAATTTTGTTACAATATATACTTAATTCATCAATAATCTAATGAGACGAATATATAACTACATCATCAGTAAACATATTACAAGTACATGTTTGCAAAGACTGAGCTTTAGCATTAAAAACAAGTAAAAATAAGATAGGTCCTAAGACACTCTGTATCATCTCTGTATCTCAACATAATTTTGTTACAATATACTTAATTCATCAATAATCTAATGAGAAGAATATATAACTACATCATCAGTAAACATATTACAAGTACATGTTTGCAAAGACTGAGCTTTTAGCATTAAAAACAAGTAAAAATAAGATAGGTCCTAAGACACTCCCTTGAGGTATTCCATTTGATAATGTTTTAGAGTTCGAAAGTATACCATGACAGTATACCGTTTGTCTCCTTTGAATCAAATAACTAGCAAACCATTTCAACAGTTCATCCTTTATACCATAATATTGCAGTTCCTTAAGAAATACTTCATGGTTAATTGAATCAAAACATTTGGAAACATCTACGAAGCACGCAGCTACTAATTCTTTTTCATCATAAGATTCCAGCCAATCATCTATAGTTCTATGAATACATGTATAGGCTGAATGGTCGGGTAGGAAAGCTGATTGATCAATATAAATCAATTCATTCAAGCGAAGATAAATCAATAATAATAGTAGAGTTTCTCTAGAAGTTTAATTACATGAAGGTTACAGATATTGGTCTAATGTTGGTTGGGTCATCTTTTTTCTCCTTACCCTTATAAATCAGTGTTACTTTGGATATTATTCAGTCAGACGGAACTGAGCCATTAATAAAACTGGCATTAGATAACAAAACCAATGGTTTAGATACAACTGATGCGCCAATAAAAAGCAATTTATAATCTACATTCAAAATGTAAAGATGATTTACATTTCATCTTCTTCAGGATAATCTGCCTCCTTTACTGCTGAAGATTCTTGCAGATGTAGTGCATGTTTGTGTGTGGCGACATAGTGTTGCAGGATGGGGTGTGCAGGTGAAAGGTGCTTATATACATAGAGCAAGGAAAAAGGTTGCCGGAATCTACTTCCCTCCTGTCTTTAATTGTCGCTTCCACTGATGGAACCAGGACGGTGCCAGGTAAAAATGTCAGAGGTAAAAATGTCAGAGGAAAAAATGTCAGAGGTAAAAATGTCAGAGGTAAAAATGTCAGAGGAAAAAATGTCAGAGGTAAAAATGTCAGAGGAAAAAATGTCAGAGGTAAAAATGTCAGAGGAAAAAATGTCAGAGGTAAAAATGTCAGAGGTAAAAATGTCAGAGGAAAAAATGTCAGAGGTAAAAATGTCAGAGGAAAAAATGTCAGAGGTAAAAATGTCGGAGGAAGAAATGTCAGTCGTAAAAATGTCAGAGGTACAAGCAAAAAAAATGTGTGCCGTCATAATATCTCAGCACTTTTATCACACAGAATGTCGAGACGTACTGCTACTGCATGGGCTAGTCTGTTATATTCCTTTCTTCCATAATGTAAATTTTATAAATGGCTGTGTGTTGTATTTCGTACATGTCCTGAGGATAATACAATGTGGAGAATAGATTTTGAAATTTATTTTGTTGTGATCAGGCTTGCATATAATGAATGTCTAACATTTTGTGATATTTTGAATTGGTTGATGTGTTAATGTTTGTGAAACGGACCGGTTTGGCCGGTGGCAGCCTGCAACATAGCCCGTGTAACGTTCCAGAGACGAACAAAGTCCAAACGAAGAAATGAAAATTCTTGACAAAAGTCAAGTTTTAAAGTGAGTAGTGCATTTAGTACAAAATAGTTACATAATCACGAGGAATCACGAAAAGTTTCATATAAGGGCTTGGCGCCCCGAACTCTGCTAAAGCTTTAGCACCTCATGGCGGCAAAGGAAGTGGAGTAAGAATAAGAAAATCAAGAAGTCGCTCCGAAAAGTAAAAACTCGCTCCGAAAACTAAAAACCCGCTCCAAAAAGTAAAAGACCGTCTCGATTCAGAAGCTCATCCCCATATTAAACTCTCCGACAATTATAAATAACGATGTAATTTAAACCGAACCTCTGCAAAGCGCGCGCTTCTCTAAAATATGATGGTGCGGTTGGCATTTAAAAATAAAGTTGAGTTCTGGTCTTGCGATTGCATTGTGAAAGAAACGGTGTGGAAGCAATCAGAAAAGGTTGATCATCTAGCATAAACATGTAAGTGCAAGGTTTTGGAGTCATTAAAATGATAAAATTTTGGCCCAGTCTTGGTAAAGTAACAAGCACTGTACACAGACAGATATTGATATGGGACTACACAAACATATGGCATACAAATCGGGCCTCATTTTAAAGACGTTACTTGTCATATCTGGGATATGAAGTCATTTGAAATAGATTTTCAGGGAATAACTTTTCTTTGATGTTCTTCCACACTGGCATAATAAGAATGATAACAAACGCTCACACATTATTGTTCACCTTTCCCCAGAACTCAACCTTCTCTTTAATTGACGTAACATGGGCGGCTTTCTGCTTTGTATCGGAGTAACAAAGCTGCTTATTGATTTTTTTTCCCAGACTATTTTATACCGCAATAGTAATCGACAATATTTTATTGCAACGTGCGCACTTCGGGAATGTGATGGTGCGGTTAGCGCTGATAACATGGCTTTCTGCTTTTTTTCAGCATGGACCCTACTTTCAGAGTATCAAAATACCAAGCCCACAAGAAAGTGGAATTGTTGGAAATATGCATTTATTGGAAATTACATATAATACTAGTCATTGCCACGCAGTTGAAATGTCCAACAATCTTCAAAAGTGAAGGAGAAGTGGGGGGGGGGGGGGGGGGGGAGGTTCATAGATATCTGATCCTATTTTGTGGGCTGTTCTGACTTTTCTTTTTATTTAATGATTACACCATGGAGCGACAACTCAGCCTATAAAACATGGCCAAACTTCTCGATTTTAGAAATCTTTTCCCCCAGAAGTTTGCTCAGTGTACCAGTACCATTTGCTTATACAGAAGCATAATATACCGGTATATAAGTATTGAATAAGGCAGACTAATGGGACATGCATGGTTGCTACTCCGAGTTTCACGCCTTACAAGCGATCATCAGACAACTGATAGCATTCGTCAAAGTACATGATTCCTCTACAACCTTGGTACAAATACGCTCAAAATAAGAGCTATACAATACAATAAGACTACAATACCTGAATACAATATAATAAGAATACTCATGAGTAATTCCAATTGTATTTTATTAGTTAGGTCATTTTAGGGGTATTTGTACCAAGGTTGTAGGATAATCATGTACTTTTAAGAATGCTATCAGTTGCCTCATGACTGCTTGCAAGGCGCGAAACTCGGAGTAGAAACCATGTCCCATTAGTCTGCCTTCTCTGCCTAGGCATTGACCACTGTTCGGAAGGATATATAGCAAAGCATATAAGAGGAAGGGGAGAGCAGCCGGGTCACCGTGCCCCAGAAGAAGAATACCCCCTCCCTCCCGTCTTCCTTCGGCAATAATCGGGCAAAAAGTCACAATTTGGGGCCGAAAGGTAAATAAATTTAAACTGGGAAAGTGGAAAATAAAGCAGCGGTGAAATAACGACTGCAGAATATCCCTCGCTGTTCTTTTTCGATAAG